CAGCAGGCATTATAAAATAATAATGAATAATAATGATCCCAGGAGTAGCCTGCCCCTCCATTAGCTCAGCTGGAGGGTAGGATAAATTGTAGTACATTCTAGTTAAGAGTTTAAAGTCAGTGGGGGATATGAGACAACCCTGCTTTATGCAGATACTTCACACGTGGATGTCTGCAAGGCTGAGTCTCTGCTGACTTGCCTGTTTAACAGGCAACTTGGCTGCCACAAGCACTCCCTGTTAAGCTGTTTTTGTGATCCATTATCAAGGTGTGGGAAGAAAGCAAGCACACTCGTTTCTGTGATCCGTGCTGCTAATGGACACCTCATGGAAAGTCTTTTAATAGAAAGAAATGAGCATAATCAGAGGAGCTCTCATGGACACCTTGCAGGCTGATTATTGACCTTACTCATCATTAATCCCAGGATATCTGCAAGTAGCAAGAGTTACAAGTTAGGTGTTGAAGCGGCAACTTCACAGTAAACTCAAATTCTTGATGACCAGGATGAATTAGTACATGCAGCCATTTCCCCAAGTCTCTTCCACAAAAATAGTCTGTTTTACTTAATGTCCACTGACGTGTGCAGCATTTTTCTCTGCTACTGAACATATATAAGCTGTTGTGAGGCCTTATAGTGCTGGTCTGATCAGAAAAGTATTGTAAGTATTTATTCTGTGCTTTCAGTGACTGTAGGACAGCTAGAGCCCACCCATAACTCAGCTGGTTGTGTATTTAGTTTTGGTTCTGGCTTCTGGGATCATGCATGGGACTCCCCTTGGTAGTGTCGCAAAATTGTTTCCAAATTAAAAAGAATTTCACAAGTTCCTGAAGGAAATACCAAGAAGTAGCATCTTTGATAATCCAATAAATGGCTTTTCCCTTGCTGATAACTCCTCGTTTCTCACAGGGGAGAAGTTTGAAAGAAGAGCATTTTTCTTTAGGAATTTGCCAATCATTGTGGAATCACAGAAAGGATGTCTGGAAGAGACCTAGTGAAATCTGATGAAGAATGAAAAACATGCCTGGCAGCATCGTGCATGAGGCCAATAATGAATCATATGATCGTTTCAGTTAGCTTGTGCATGCCAGTGAAATGTACTTTTTTTTTTTTTCTATCATTTATTTCACAGTTTTGCCTATCTCCTCAGTTGTAATTGTCATTCCATCGGGGTTCTGTCTAAGAAAGCAGAACCATCTGGGGAAATCAGCATTGCTTCACTCAGTCTCAGCTGGAATTAAAATGATGTGATGTGAAGATGAAGAAGGAAAAAAAAATCCCAAATACCTTGTCATGGGAATTAAATGGGGCTGTTGACCAGCATCTGTAGTTCAGTATGAGAAAGAAATTTTATTTAAATACTGTAATGTACACTAACATTACAAAACAAAACAAACAAACAAAACACAGAAATGGCTTCTGTTTTTATAGAGAAGACAGGCAGTCCTGAAATTGTGGTGCATGTGTACTCTAATGAAAGCCAACGAATCATTCCTGCTTATAAAGATGACAGGATGAGCTCAACATGTGTTAAAATCAGTGAAAAATATTAATTCTCATTCCTAAAATATGACCTCATATCCCCAAGATTGCAGAGATGAAGGATATGCAGTAAATTAGCCCAACAGCCTTTTACCTCTAGGTCTGAACCCTTAGATCACCAGCTGAAATGAATCTCTGTCTTTATCTGAAGCATGTCTTCTCTGAATATTTATTGACATCACAAAATAGCTTTGGCATCTGGCACAATTTGACATGATTAATTGTCATTGTTCAAAGAGACGACAGAAACAGAGCTGAGCTCTGTTGTGTTGTCTGGGAGTCTGCACAGTGACTGCTAAACTCATGTTGCTGCTGTCAGGCCTACACTTTCAAAAACATGCAGGAAGCTAATAATAACAAAAAAAGTTTATGTATATGTGGGCGAGAGAGAAGGATAATAAATAAACATGTTAGCAAGCCAGTTGTTCAAAACGATCATCTATCACACACAATTCATCACTGATGTCTTAATTGATGCTTGCTGCTTAAAATTTGAATGTCTCATAAAATTATCAATGCAGAGAATTCATTGGCTAAATTATCAAATAATATGAGGATTAAAGTCATGTTAAGAAATAGCATTAAATGAATAATTCTCTGAGCACCAGAGCAAATGAAGCCTGATGTGTTTTTTTATGAATTTTTATCCACTGTTTTGACAGGATAGAATTTATTATATGGCAACATTTTCCTGTTAGGATATTTCTGTCTTTTCTGCATAGATCCTAGGGTACCTGATAATGTTTTATTTTGTAGGCTGTGCCTTGGTGAGGATGACATGGTGTCTCTCCTCTATCTAGCCTCAGACATCAAACATCTGGCAGTGTAGCATTGACTCTACATGCACAGCTGGGATGAGCTGGAATCACAGCCATTACTCCATCCATCCTGCATTTATTTATTTATTTGGATAATCTGCATTGCCAATGTGGCTGTTGCTCTTGCTGCAATGAGACAAGTAAAGACCTGGGTGTGAGAGAAGCACAAGCTCTCAGTGATAAAGGCAATGTAGGTGTAACTTGCCCAGACTATTTAGCTCTCAAGCACGGTCTTTCTGTTGAATTTAGGTGAAGGTGAACCTTGTCAAAAGATGGAGACTGACAGATTTTGGCATTATATAAGACTTGCTTCCAATAAAAGCAGGTCAGCCGTTGTGCAGGAGCTGGGAGGAACTTCATGACTTCCCACTTGTGCACTTTTTAATGAATTGATGAATGGCAAATGATGACATCTGTCTGTTTCTGGAAAACAAATGCAAGGCTCAATCTTATAAAGGTTTGTATCAGAGCTACTATCCACTGTTAGCAAGGAAAATGTTTTAACTGATAAAAAAAAGCAAAGTAATGAAAGCAATACCACCAACACAGTAAGGTTAGAGATTTTATTTGTTTCTTTTTTGGCTCTGTTATTTGATTTAAAGCTGGAAGGAGACTGTAGTGTTTCATTGCACTAGAGGGTTAGAAAAAATATCTGAGATTGTCATAAAAAGTATGGGTGTAGAAATGGTGTTTTCACCCATCAAATTTTCCAGCAGCTGAGCAGAACTCTTGAGAAATGTAGGCTTCAAGTTCTGTGGAATAGCTTTTCCTCTGCCAAAAGCACAAGCTAGCTGGATGCCCTCAGTGGGTGTTCCTGGCAGACGAAAACAGGAGAGGGGAAAAAAAAACACAATGCACAGAAAATGATAGTCCTAAATCTTGACAGTGATATGGGAATATTAATAGGCAGTGCTGTTTGTTAGGGACATTTATTTTTGCACCTTTGTTTTATGTTTTGTATTGTTAAGAGTGGAAGAGCATAATAGCTGTTCTGTTTCTGTGGATGAATCTGCCTTGCTTGCTGCTGATTCAATATCACCCCATGAAGCATAATAGAAAGAAGCGAGGGGAAAGAGCTCATTCCTCTTCTGCAGTTTCATACTGCTGCTTCAGGTGGCTACACTGTCTCCATGTACACGTATGCAGGCATATCACTTTGAAAGCAGCCGAGTATTTTTCCTTTCCAGGTTGAATGCCATGCTTACTATCTTATTGCTTTTGATGTGATTTGATTTAAGTTTGAAAGTTATTTTATGTTCTATAAAAGTATACATTTATAAAAATACATGTATTGGCTCATAATTTAAGAGCTTATTATCACATTTAATATCTTAAATGAGGTAGCATACAGCTGTCAATTCAATGATCAGAGTACCTGTGTGTCAGGGGCTCGGATGTTTAGAAAAAATACTCCATGCCCTGAGCAGCTCAAAATCTAGATAAATGTCCCTCATCAAATATGGCCTGGGGTGAGGAGAGGAAGGGTAGATTGCAGAAGTCAGACAGGGGTGTTACAACTATGGATGATGAAGCATAAAAAGCTATACTTAAGAGGTTGAAGAACAAATGAATGAATGAGCAAACATTTATTTGATCTATTTATTTGTTTGCAGCTATCCAGACTTTCCTGTTTCAGACACTCAGATAAGCTCCTCCCCATACTGTGTTTAGCTCATTTTATTGTACATCACACCTGATTTCTCTGGCCACACATCTGAGCCGGTGTGGACTGATTCTGTTAGCTGTATTTTGAATCAGTCTACATTTATCCTTCACTAGAAGGACTCATTCTTCCCATTTCTTTTTTGCTCTTTCAAATAAGCAGCAATGACCTGCAAAAACACTGGCAAGTGTGTATGTTTGAAGTGGAGTGTCCACTTTTCTGAGCTTTTCTTTATGTTTTGTGAAGTAAGCTGCCTTCCTGTTAAGTGAATTGATGGTGTACTTGATGGGTACTTTCTTCTAATGGTGGCTTGGGCTTTACTTCAGGTGAAGTGCAACTGTAAGAATGGACTGGTGTTGTTCAAGAGGGAGAGATGAGTGCTTTTAGAACTGAAGATGGGTTTTTGATCTATTCTGGGACATTGTATGAGGAAGTTTAAAAAATGATGTAGGAATATGGAGGAGGTAAACAAGTTATCTTCAAGGTTTGAGGCATCCAAGGCAGGTTTTTGGAAGTGAATACGCAATTTACTGTCTTGTGCACTTTATTTATTTGATAAGAAGTTGTTCTGATGCTTATGCATTTGAAGGCTTGTTCTCCAAATCCCTTATGTAAAGAATATAAGTTGTTCCTTGCTTGGGAGAGCTGGAGGTCCATATTTGCAGAGAACAGCATGGAGGAAATAGGTCTTGAGAGGAATATGCTAAACTTCAAGGAAAACCTGCAGCAAGGCTAAGGCAGACTGAGGAGATGGTAACTACAGTGTTACATGTGTGGGTAGGTCACACTTCTGAATGCAGAGATGCCCACAGGCATAAGCACACACCCTTCAAGCAGGGAAGAGACAAACTAGAGCTGTTGATCAGAGCGTCCCCTGACTTCCAATGTCCCTCCCATGAAAAGCACTCTCTTGGAACCACCCTGTTTCTAGTGTTATTTTTGCCTCCAAAGTTGGATTCTGATATGATCTGTGGTGGTAATATTTTGGAAGAACAGCTGGCCTCTCATCCACTGTCAGAACGAAAATGTGAAAGCAGACCAAAATGACAGAGACATCAGAGTATGCAATTTGTAAGTTTATTAATTATGGATTGGTGTTTCCCTGTAAGTTTCCTATGAATTTCATGTGTAGTGTGTGTAGAAATCTGTGCCATCTCAACAGTGAATTCTGTTGATCCACATCATATAACTATTTGGCTCAATCAAACCATCGATTGGTATATCTTACAATGCTATATCCTCTTGCTACGATGTGCTCTCTAAAAGACCTTCCTCATTAAAGCTCATTCAAAGGAAGCATTCTGTCAGGCACCAATAAGCCTTATTTGCCTAGACCAGCTGCAGCTGGGACCCACTCCACCTGTCCCTCCACCCTCTGGGAGTTTCTTGCAGAAGCTCTGTTTAAACTGCGGTATGGCTTTTTCTTCCTGTCTGGGTTATGATGCAGGTGTATTTATTTCCAATTTTGCTCCTGACTTGTTCTTTGGATTTGCTGAATTGATCTTGGACCTGTTCTATGGCCTTGCTTTTGTCTGTGCCATCCATTAGGCCTCCTGCCTCCGCTGCTCTACTTGCCCAGCTCTGGTGTTACAGACTGAGTCCTGTTGGTGAGGTGGTTGCCCAGCCTGCACTGTGGCCACACTCAGCTCACCTTCCTTCTTGAAGCTGCCCTGTTCTTGCTCTTCTACCAGGTAGGGAACTTCTTATCACTTATCCAATCGAATGAGTTTTAAATATTATTATTTCATTCTGGAGTGTCTATGCAATGTGGTACAAGTTAAATCGTTGTTAAAATCATAATAACAGATATCAAGATGTATAAGCTAAGCATGAAAGTGAAGTTAGGTCTTCCAAAAAGTTAAGGCTATTGCTTTTGACAAAATATCGAAGTTGCAAGTGGCTAAAGACAGCTGTAATGTTTTGCAGTAGAAACAGTTAAAAAATTACTCCATTTGCTGATGTTTATTTTTAAAAAGTAATCTGGGGCTAGGTGGTTTTATCATATTTGAAATGTAGATGCTGATCTTAGGTGCTTCATCGCTATTGTTTTCTGTTATTGTTATTGATTCTTTTAACTCTGTAACTACACTAGCACAGTCATATTGGATGTGTGCTTTCTGAAGGATAAGCAGTGTCACATATGTAGCTTTCCAGTAGGGGAAGAAAAAAGAAAGGGGGAAAAGTCCTTTATGCTTTGGGAGCCACAGGAGTCTGTCTCTAAAGAGACCCAGGAGCACCTTGTGTGCCTTCTTGCAGCCCTGCTGCTATAGCAGTCACTGCTATGTGCCTGGATGTGTCTGCATAAAGAAAATAAGGCCCACTCTGTAAGATGGAGTACAAGGGGCACTCAGCTGAAGAATTTGCATTTTATTCACCTCTTGTTGCACTTCCCTAACACTGCGCCTGGACTCAGTTCACTAAAAGGCAGGAATAAGGGAGGGTGAGGTGAGATGGGATGGTTCTAAGCAGAAGGTTGCTCATGAGTTTGTTGCTGGTACTTGCAGAAAGTTCAGGGGCCCACCAGTGGCTCTGAGACCATGCTGTTTTCACAGGTTGCATCCTTCTAATAACTTATTAGGTGGCAGATTTACTTGGAGCGATGTAGATATGATTGGCAAAGAATATAATTCAGTATACTTCACCAAGGACTCTTGTTTTTTTAAGCCTTTGCTATTCAGCTAGCTGAATGTACGCCTACAGTCACATTATGAAAACCCTTTAGTTACTGCACTGTTTTGAGCTACTGTGAACCAAATGAGTAAGAAATCCATGTAATGCTAGGTATATGCTTAAAACATCAAAGGCTGTTCAGGAAACTAAATGGCCCATGGGCTTTGCTAGGTTTATTAGCTTTTGAAAAGCAAAAAGTAACTTGTCTCATAAAATAAACACAGTGATCCCAAAAGCATCTGTAGTTTACCAGCAAAGATGGATGACAAGCCAAATTATGCTTGCTGCTTTGGTTTAACAACCAAAGTGCCCAACCACAATGCTCAACCATGTATTTATTTGGTAGTTTAAAAATAACATGACAGAAAGCAAAGTCTATATACGACTATTTACCAATTCTGCCATTGGAGATAATAAATGCTGTTTGAGTTTATATTCTCTTGTTGGTTAATTTGGAGGAATTTACCACCACTGTGAAATCTGAAAGGGTAAGGGAAGAAGCTATGAAAGGGAATATGTAATTTCTTTAGTCTAACTGCTGTTTCATTGCCTCAATTAATCTACATTTCCAAGGCCTTCAATTTATGGAAAATTATTGGAGTGGCAATATGCACCATGGTACAGCTGAAAGCTGGATTTTAATAAATGTGGACTATTCAGTACATAGACATAGGCTGGCCTTTGAAATCCATCAAGGCTTGTCCAGCCTGTTCTGAATAATTTTAAGAAATCTGTGCATAATTAATGAAGAATGCTAACAGATCTTCTGCCCATGGGCTATCATCCTTATTTCCATGAGGAGCAGGAAACGTGAGGTTTGTATAGTCAAGGTTAAAACTTCTGAATCTGTTCCCCTCTTGTCCCTTGTCTGCTAGCACATGAGTATGATTTGTATCTATGAATTTAAATTAAGCAGCTCTTTTCTGTTAATGAGTAGTATATGTGAACTAGAAGTGTAATTATTTATATAACACATCTAGTCATAGTGTCAGAACTGTATTTCAGTGTGCTTTGGCTCTAAAAGGATGTTGCCTTGTATCAAGAAGCTAGGGTGCAGTGGTGTGTCCCTCTTCCCCGCCTCCCACTGTCCTGATGCACCATTCTGGCTGTTAAATCTTTATATATATGTATATACATATATATTTATTTATATTTATATATATATCTACCCAGTTAATTAGTTATATTAATTACATAAAAAAATGTATGTAACTGGCAAATCTGTATGTGGAATCTGCTTCTGAGCAGCCTGAGAACAAAAAATGAAAATGATCCTGACCCAGGAAGCTGGCATTTGCCTGAGACTGAGGCCTCACCTGCCTCATTATCCCCTCTTTTTCCAGCAGTATTCATAGCGAGGAGGTTGGGCCTGGCCAGGCTCCCCAGACGTGACAGGCCCAGGCTGCGGCCTGGCAGCCATTTTTCCCCTGCCAATCTGTTCTGGTTTGGGCTGGGTTAGCGTTAGTATTTTTTATAGTAGACGGTGCGATGCTGTTTTGGATTTAAGACGAAACACACTGACTTGTCAGCTTGTTGTGTTGCCCTGCCAGCGAGGAGGCTGGGGGTATCCAAGGAGCTGGGAGGGGACACAGCCAGGACAGCTGAGCCAGAGCAACCAAAGGGATATGGCATACCATGTGGCATCATGCTGAAAAAAGAAAAACTAAAACTGGGGGGAGTTGGCTAGGGGGCCGTCACTGCTGGGCATCCATCAGCTAGCTTTTTTTTTTTTTTTTTTTTTCTTCCCACTTTTACCTAATTCTCTTCCCACATCCCAGAGCATGGGGGAGTGAGCGAGTGGCTGAGTGGTGCTGAGCTGCCTACTGGGTTAAACCACAACATGGTTGCCAGCATTTCCATGTAGGCACTCAGATACTCAGGGCCTACAAATGGAAAGTGACTGTGCTCTAGTACACGTAATCACACATTTTCATCTGGAGATGCCACTAATTATCTTTCTAGTGGGTTTGATCCTTCTGCTGCAGTGCTTGGCCTCCTATTAACTCTGAGTGGCCAAGGGATAGATCAGGGTATTGTAGCTAGTGCCACTGGTTTCAATTACACTATCTGAAGTGAGCTTGGATTCTGAGCAGCAGAATTTTTATTTATTTTTAAACATTATTGTATATTAAAGAAGGCCTCATTTCCGAACCCTTAGAAGCTGGTAGAGTCTACAAAAAGTGAAGGGAAGGGAAGTGGGGACATGCCAAGATACCTTGCCATGAATCTCCCACTTGACAACTATTTTGTTTCCAAATAGAAACGTAGGATTATGGAGATTACCAGACTTGGCTGTTGCTTTCTATTCTACCATAATCCATTTGTTTAGCTTTGTGAGCATTTACCCCAAAACCACAATACTTTCCTCCTGCTTTTCCTGTTCTGGTGTTGCCACACATCAGTGGCTGAGTGACCTTTGTCAAATTTTCAATGCAAATCTGCTTTTGGCAAATGGTGTATATCTTTGCCCTGCATTGTCTTCTCTTAATATTATTCTTTATTTTTCTCCTAATGTCTAAGTGGGTTGTTCATGTCAACTGGCAGAGGGAAAGGCAGCATTCTGCTTGACTGCACAAGGTTGTTTTCAGAGGATCAAAGCACTGTCTGCCCCATGTTTAAATCACTCTCCAAATTTTAAAATTGCTTGTTTACAATTTACTAGTTACCTGAAAATATCACATAACCCATAGAACAGGCACAGATAATTCGCTCAGTCTTCATTGACAGTTTTTGCTCATTATAAAATGCAACTTATTTTTATGTCTGAGACCAACGCTGGGAAAGTGCATCAAGTTAGCTGCACCATTAAAAAAAAAAAAAAAAAAAAACACACAAAAAAAACACAAACAAAAAACATTAATAGTCTACATTTTTAGTCAGAGAGTAATGATTGAAATGTCAGCCTTGTAGCTTGTTAAGCCCTTTGAGGGTTCACAGTTCATAGGAAAAAGGATGACTACTTTCTTCTTGACAAAAATGAACTATTTTAGTCTTGGAAACCACATTTTTTATTAAAAAGTAAATCATGTTAAATGTTCACCATGATGAACTGGTAATAATTGGAAATTGCAATTTTATTGATATAAGGTGATAAACTATTTGTGAGTAGGAAATCAAAAATACCCTTAAATTTCTATGTTTCAATAATAGTCTTTTTAATGTCTATAAGCATAGGCATTACTTTTGTGTCTGTTGTGGCTTAATGCTTTTATTATCTTGAATACCTCATAGAAATAAGAAATTGCTTTCCATCACATTTTAAATATTATTCCATAATAAACCTTGACTGTACCATTAAATCTTCAGGAGCTCTTAACTGCTTTTACAGTAACAGAATTTACATTTGGGCATACTGTAGCTGTTCGCTTAAGTACAGGACATTTAGGGGTTGGTCATAACTCCATAATAAAAGATATTTGTCTCTTTTCTAAGTATTAGATATTAGCTGGTTTGCAAATGAGGTGATAGTGCAGAGCTGTATCAGTGCAATGCGTACAGGTGTGATAGAACTGCTAGTCGTTCACAAATTACTTATTCCAAGGCAATTTCAAGGCCTATTCATTTAGCCTTTGGTGTCTGAGCATCCAGGCTAGCCTTGCATGTAAGCAAGAAGAATTGCACCACTAGAGAGATACAGCATGCAGGCAAACTGGAAAATGCAATTCTGTAATATTTTAAAGTGGATACCATGAGAACCGAGTGTGTAGTAGAACTACATTTCCCTGAGTAGGCTGGGAGATGGAATTCATTCAGCTAAATGAGGTTTCAGATTCAGGAGACTTTTTGGTGCAAATGATGCATGTCAGGGGAAGTAACCCAATTTTGCATGATTGGAGGCTTAGGTAATAATAACCATCCAGACAAACAAGTCCCCAGTGTTCTGTGTATTGTATTTAAATGCAAACTTGTGTCCCTACCACATTTTAAAATAACTGCTCTTTGCACTAATTCTCAAAAAAGGTAAGATTTCTTTATAAGAAAAAGCACTTGCTTCTATGCTTCTTTCTGGGTTCTGCAGCAA